CACACCTGTCTCCTTCTTCACACACCTGTCTCCTTCTTCACACACACCTGTCTCCTTCTTCACACACACCTGTCTCCTTCTTCACACACACCTGTCTCCTTCTTCACACACACCTGTCTCCTTCTTCACACACCTGTCTGCTTCTTCCCACACCTGTCTCCTTCTTCCCACACCTGTCTCTTTCTTCCCACACCTGTCTGCTTCTTCCCACACCTGTCTCCTTCTTCACACACCTGTCTCCTTCTTCACACACCTGTCTGCTTCTTCCCACACCTGTCTGCTTCTTCCCACACCTGTCTCCTTCTTCCCACACCTGTCTCCTTCTTCCCACACCTGTCTCCTTCTTCCCACACCTGTCTCCTTCTTCCCACACCTGTCTCACCTGTGAGCTCAGCCAGGATCTTTTTGACAGAGACTCCTCGGGTGTACGTGAAGGCGTGCGCACGGTAAGCTGTGATCAGGTGGTCTGAGGGTCTGATGGCGGCCTCGATGCCTGCAGCACACGCTTCCTGTTAGACAAGCAGTTTTTAATGATGCTCTTATTGTGAAATGATGAGAAAAACCCTCCACAATAAAAGCTGCAGTATGCAACGTACCTGCCCATCATACAGGTGACAGAAGCCTCTGATGATCTTCTGTTTGTACAGCTGATCAGCTTTCAGCTCCATGCGTCTCACCGTCTGCATGGTTCTGTAAAACTGGAGGCCCTGCTCCCTCGTTAGCTCCGCCCTCACCGGAGGCCCCGCCTCCAGGCGGTGCAGGTCACATTTCTACTGGAGGACACACAGATCACTCTCCCATCAGRAGGAAATCAGATTTTAACTAAATATTAGAACATTTTGTGGTTAAACTAGTTCACAGATGATTGTTTTAATGATTATTTTATTTTCACTTTATTTTAAAAACAAGTTAAAATAAAACTTTAGCTTCAGCCCACCTTGATGTCAAAGGTGGCCTGAGGAGTGAAGTCAGTAAAGCTGCGGGAGACRACCACTCTGGCTCCCTGAAACACAACCAGCAGGATTATTTCAGCGTCAGATCACTGTGGCTGGAACAGAAGAAGCTTCATCACTGAGCTCTGCCTCCTCTTCACTGCTGAGGAAGGTTAGTCGGATCAAACAGGACCTGGATCAGGTTCCAGTCTGCAGCTACATCCCACAACGAGCAGGGTGGAGGAACCAGACCAGATGAACCATCAGAACTGAAACACMTCAGCACTTCAAGTGTTTTTCTGAACTTTAACACTAATATTTTAAATAACTCAGTGAAAATATTAGGTTTGTATATTAAAGATAATTCCAGAAACAATGCGACAAATGTAAAAATAAAATAGAACGAGGTGAAATCTTTAACTCATTTCATCCACAAAAGAACACAGAAAACACGTTTTCATGTAATAAACTGTTCTGTTTTAAATAAAGAACTGCTCTCAGTTCCTGGATGTTTACAGTCTGATGATGTCATCAAATTTACAATTACTTTAATTAAAAAGATATAAGTTCTTATTTAAACATTTGATATTTTATTATTTAAAATTGTGAATAAAATGTGGGTAAATAAGGTTTATAATTACACAAAGGGCCTCATACAAAATCCACTCATACGAACAGATTTGTTTTTAAGTTGAGCGTACGAGTGATTTAGGAGAATTTGTTTCATTCACCAGTTTTCTTGTAAGATTTTCTTCAGATAGGAACAAAATTCACGAGTGGTCCAGACCTGTGGTTTAATTACAGCAGTCAGTCTGCTGTTATCCAGACTGATTTTCTTCATTAATAACTTTATATTTTATTAGTTTGAAGATATTTTGAGTTGAAAATAAATTGCACTCCATAATTATGTTGACAATAGGCTATTCTGCTTGAATTAGAGTTATAATTTTGAATGTAATAATTTAGACGAACAATATAAATTGTCCGTCTGGCAGGCTTATCCGCTATCGGGTGCAGCAGTAGAGAGACCCCGTGCTCTCCCCTGCAACACTTTCCAGCTCGTCCTGGGGGACTCCGAGACGTTCCCAGGCCAGATGGGGTACATAACCCCTCCAGTGAGACC